CTAGAACAGGCCTATTGGGCTTTTTGCATTTTAGAAGCCAAAGGTAAGATTGTCATTGGACTATCTAATCTTTTTAGTTTTTTTTTTTCTTTCTAGATTTCCATTGTCATTAGGGGTGATCATCAAACCCCAAAAAAGAAAACCGAACCGATGAAACTGAACTGAAAAATCCAGTGTTTTGGAAAAACCGAAGGTACCGGTTCGGTTTTGGTTAACCAATATGAAAAACTGGCAGTTAATAAAACCAACCAATATATATATTTCAAATATATCATTATTAAACATAAATATATATATGCATTATACATATATATATATATATTTATAATGTATAATTATTATATATTATTTATATTACATATATTTCTAGTATTTATATTATATTTAATTATATATTTATGTATAACATATATTAAAAATTAAAAAAACAAAGAACCAAACCGATCAATTGGTTAACCAGTTGGTTTCGTTTTTGATTTTCCAAAAACCGGTGGTACTAGTTCGGCTCAAAAAAAAGTCCCACAGATCGGGTAACCAAACTGTGAGCATCCCTAATTGTCATGATGTATTCAAATTTTTTTCCTTCCAATCTGAAACTAGACCTTGTTCAAAGATGTTAAAAGGCGTTTTTCTTCTTTGAAATCTTATTGAAACTTTTAACGTCTCCCCTTCCCACTCTGCATAGAGATTAGACAACCCACATTTTCAGGTGTTGTCCTATTTCTGTTTGTTTGTATGATCATTCTATCAATCAAGATTTCAACATTAATTTCATGGTATAGGAGGAGATTCTAATTCAAGTAACAACACTTTTGTTTTGTAACCTGATCTACAATATTCTTATCCAAGTTTGAAGTTCTGAGGTGTGTCAAGTAAGGAATGAAACATGGTTACAAACTCAAGCTCAAACATTAACAGGAGTTGGATTAAATCCAGTAATCCAAGATTTCCAATGGATTCGAATTCGAATTCGAATGTACATTCATAGATTCAACCAGGTTTCAGGTTGAATTCAAATGTCTCATATATTTAATTGAATCAAACTCGTATGGAGATGAATTCAATCCGATTATAGCCTTAATCATTACTGCTACGCCCACCACCCAGTACTCTTGTCATTTCCAAAACTAAAAGAAAATAATGTGACTTTGTCTTTTTTGGATGATTGAGACAACTCTTCACTGTTGAACATCTCTAACCCAAAACAAAATCCCTTTCACTTCTCATCCCCTAACCCAAAAACCCTCTCTTCACTGTCTTCAACTTGCAACTCTCAGCTTTGCCTCCACTGTCCTATTGTGAATGTTCTCATCCATCTTCAAGGCTCTCAATGTTTACCTATTAACATTGACCCACTGTTGTCTTTCTTCTCCCATTTTCAAGTGAAGTTGTTACCGTGAAGCCATGAAGTTTTAGTAGGAATCTGCTGAATTAAAAAAATATGAAAGAAAGTAGTTTCTTGAAGAGAGGAGGAGAAGAAGAGAATAAGAGAAGTTTGAAAGAAAAGAGAGCAAAAATCTGGCTGCCCCCTTCACTTATTATTTATACTAAAATAATAGAACAGTACAAAGGCAACTACTGTGGTCCCCACCTCCTATCTAACAACTAACATAAAACATCTATTCAGAAAAACATCATAAAACTAATTAATCTTCAACACTCCCCCTCAAGTTGGGA